CCCCGTCGGTGGAGCTGCCGGGCTACGCGCCCTCGGACCCCGACCTCGACGCCTCCTACCCCTACTGCTGCCGGCCGCCCTGGGAGCCGGGCCGGGGCCGCTGAGCCCCGGGCCCGAGCGGCCGCAGGACGGGTCCCCGCTGCCACCGAGTCTGCGTCCGGGAGGTTTCTGTCCCGTGTCGCTCGCGCCCGGGCTCCACTTTGAGGTCACAGTTAGTGTTTGGGGCCGGCCGCCCCCTCCGCACCCCTCCCGGGCGAGCCCCATCGCTGGGGCCGCGCTCGCGACGGTCCGGTCCGAGGCGGGCGACCGCACGCGAAGGACAGAAAGACAAAGCGGCTGGCACTTCGGGAATGACAGACTCGGGGACACAGCCAACAGCAACACTTGGCCCGCGGATGTGCCTGCTTTTGTTGGTACCTTTTTACTGTAAAGCTCTCCATAAACAGTGAAAATGTTTGGTAAATTTATTGCAATTTAAAGTCGGTGAGTTCTTTTACTAAATGAATGGCTATGTTATCGGAGAATATTCATCACGTTGGAGTTAGAGGACGTCCACCCACAGCCACTTGGGGCAAGTGGTTGAACGTGGCCAGACGAGTGTCGAGCGCGCACAGTTGTGCCCCGCCAGCTAGTCCGCTCGGTCCGGCCTCTTCTGAAGCTGACTTTGTGTGTGTGTGTAGAGACACTGACACCAGGTCCCCTACCTTCTTTCTTTTGAAACTGGCTGCGTGGTTTCTACTGCAAAGCAGAGCTTATTTTTGGTTATACATATGAACAATCTAATCCTATTTTGGAAAATCACAGTCATAGTTTTTCTGGCAAAGATCATTTTCCTGTTGATTAATTCATTAATCTGGTAATTTTGAATATTATAGCACTTCACTTAAAATATACCCTTAAATAGCCTTAACTGATGTGAGGATCATAATTGTAAACCATCAGGATGTGTGTGCATGTTTACACACAGTGTGGCACGAGTTCCCGACAAGGGTGCAGTGTGTTTCCATCTGCCTGGTGGGCCGGCTGGGAGCCGGGCAGGCTCCGAGTCTTGGGAAAATGTGATCTGATTCCCATGTGCCTGGAATCGTGGTGCCGGGCATGTAGCTGCTGACTCTGGACAGCGGGGGCCCCACCTGGCTGAAAGGTGTGTACCTCCTGTAGATGGATGTGGGGACGCGGCCAGAGCTCTGCCAGGGTGAGCACAAGTACTTGAGGTGAGAGAAGCTATAGAAATCATGTGCAGTGTCTGTATGGGGTAGAGGAGTCCGCTTCTCACTGTGAAAAAGTACCCAAATTTAGGGATGGGAGCGTAGTTTCCAGGTGCAAGCTCTGGGGTGAGACTTATCCTCAGTCCCCAGGTGTCCAGACCAAAGCCAGAGCTTCCCTGCACCCCACAGACCTGGCCAGGCTGCCCTAGCGCAGCAGAGGCCAGTGGAGGGGAAGTGAGACCTGTCACCAGCTAGTGGGCTGATCTGTGGAGGTGCGAACCCGTCCCTGCTGGTGGCTCGGACAATCACTATGAAACTCGGGAGTCTCATCAGAGCAACGGGCCATTGTCCTCTCCCTGCTGTGTGGGTGCCGCCCAAAGAAAAAGAATCAACATGGCCAATGTGCTAGGTTCTCATCCACGGGCCTGCTCAGACACTGGTCCATATTGGGCCTTTGCTCTCCCAGGCGGTGAGGTCCTTAGGGCCCCACCCCTCCTGCCCCAGGACAGCCAGCCTGCTGACCACCAACCTGAGCGGAAATGTGGTAAGAGGCAGCACACAGTGACTGTTAAAACACTTTCCTTGTCCACCTAGATCCAACCGTGTGGCATTGCCGGGGGCTTCCTGCTCCCTGGGCAGAGACCTCAGTGGTGGCTGCAAGACTGACCCCCCAGAGCTGCACAGCAGGGGCGGCCTGGCCGGTCTGAACGGGGTGAACACGGGCAGCAGAGCCGCAAGCATTCAAACCTCCCGTGTGCTTTTTGTTCTCTGAGGTGTTTAGTTTTACACATTTTGTACAGCTTAAAAGTGTAGATGCCTTATGAGTCTTTAAATTTGTGATCAAAATCAGTGACCTCTCTAAACTTCCAGGCTTTTCTTGGACTAGATCAGAAGGCAGAACTAGGTGGGGGTGGGTCATCCGTGTGAGGCAGGGAGAATCTGGAGGTGCCCCAGGCAGCTGCTTTGCCCCCAGCCCCAGTCGGGGTGAACCAGCCTCTTCTAAGCCCAACAAACTGGAGAATTTGTTTGAAAGTCCAGTGTTCCTTACTCCACGCACACTGTCACCTCTGCTTTTGTAGAGGTTGATATAATGATGTGGGGACACCAGGGTTTAAAATTTTAAGTTTACTAGAGGAAATAGAATCCCACGTATCCCTAAACTCAGATTGTTCCAAAGACCAGTTCTCAGGGAAATGAGTGGAGGGTCCTGAAGGCGCCCGACTTCCTTCCTGGGGGAGTGACGGGGACTGACTGCCTAGATACCACTCCAGTCCCAAGCTTCATGTCATCCAACCCATGGCAGCAATTTTTTGTCATGCTCATTCTACTTTTTTGAAACTTTAAGCTTGTTCAGAACTCATTCTTTGTGCTATTTGGAAAATAATGCCAGTCCTTGGGCCTTTCTAGAGCTGGGCCTCACCCTGCTTCCCTGCCACGAGTTTATTCAATGCTGAGGCAAAATTGAGCTGCACCCATTTCCCATTTTTACACGGGTCAGCTGTCATTTTAAACAGGAAGCTGTGACTTGGCTCAGCAGTACACGCTCGCTGCTCACATGGCTGGGGGTTTGCTTTTGAGGGAATAATGTGATAAAGATAACGTGTGATGCTGTGTACAGAATTGGGCGGTGTAGTCGCCAAACAAGCCACGTCCCCTTAGCGTTGATAAGCGGGTGCTCCAGGGCCCCAGAGGTCTGGGTGTTCACATCTTTCCTTAGCCAGAGGGAGTGCTCTGTCCTTGGCGACAAGAATCTGAACCACACAACTGAGCTTTTGACTGAAAAGTCAATTAAACAATTGTTTAACTTTTAAAAATCAGTCAGATGGTTATTCGCTGTGAAGATCCAATTGCTGGTGACTGAAGTTTTTACTCCTGGCTGGTGTTCTGATGCAATGCAGGAGGAAGCGTTGCGCGTGTGCACACACACGCACAAATGTGCACATGAACACGCACATGTGTGCACACACGTACACACGCGCACAACCTACATGCCTGCACACTCATGCACATACTCATGTGCATGTACTACACACCTGCATACATATGCACATGCACATGTGTGCACACACATACACACGCGCACAACCTACATGCCTGCACACACATGCACATACACTCATGTGCATGTACTACACACCTGCATACATATGCACATGTGCACACACACAGCCTCCAGCAGCCCTGCCTGGGGCACTCAGGATCCAGGTGGAACCCATCGGGGCATCATGGCCTAGCTGTGTAGCCGGGCTGCCCTGACCTGGCCATCCCTTTGCTGCAGCATTGTGGGACAAGCACGCAGGACGCATGCCCCCAGTAGGGCAGCTTGTTAGCACTGAGCTGCATGTAGGCCCTGAGCGCCCTGTCACACCTGGGTGGGGCAGGCTGCTGGGGCTGACCATCTGCAAGTCGACAAGCTCAGGGAGCCATGTGGGAGGTGTTCTGGGGTCCGAGAGAGTGGTGGGTTCCAGGTTGAGTTCCCGGGCTCCGAGGCAGGTCTGCGTGGCTCAGTCTTGCCATGGCTGGACTCTGGCATGGACCTGCTGGGCACCCTCCTGTGTCTCCCATGGCCCAGCTCCTCTGCTGAGTGGTGGCAGCCAGCTTCCCACCACCAAAGTCATTATCACCCCAAAGTATTTTTTTTCTTGCTAAGATATGAGAGAAAATTAATACATGACAGAGACCTTAGAACATAAATTCTGGCCTATAAACCGGTTGTCTCTATACCTGCGTGCCTGTCTTTTTATATGGGACAGGCAGCAGCTAATGTCAGCGTTTGATTTCCTGATGATCCAGTCCCTTTGCTTAACTTGCTGCCTTTCAGTACTGCACCTGACGGAAAAACACGAGCAAAGTGGAAAAAGAAAATAAATTTAGGAAAATAGTATACAGATATCGTTATATCGCCAAATTTGAATTCTCCTAAGGACTTCGCGGGGTGGCAGGGGAAAGCCTGGTGGTCCCCACGACAGAGCTGTTTCTACAGTTTTCTTAAACTCTCCGTGTATAGGAGGGAATCGACTCACACATGTGGGTTTCACCTAGAGAAGCCCCAATCCCTATAATCTCTATTTTTGCCTTTTATCTGCCATTGATACTCAACAGAATGTCACTTTTGGGTCAATAAAATCTGTTTTAAAATACACGGTACTCCACAAAACAATCCTTTACTCCCCATCTGGGTGGCCATCGTCCTGTTTCTGGCAGACTGTGTGGCAGGAGTGGCCGGATCGGTCAGGGGCTGCGGGCAGGGCGGCTGCACGTGGGTGAGTGGAGGCTGCTCTGGGTCCTTCGCTCTCCGTGGGCTCGACCATGGCGCCCAGCCTGTCGTTTCCATGGTGCCTGGAGGGGCCACCCACCTCCTCTGCCCTCTTCCCGGCTCCAGGGCCCCGGATTTGGCCCTTGTGCCCCCTGCACGGCCCTACCAGGGAACACCCTTCCCTTTCCCTCTATTTCTAGGTTGTCAGCCTGATCTCTTCATCTCCTCTCCTGATGCAACATTTTCCTAAAATACAGGCTCATGTTATCCTACTCAGAAATGTTCAAGAGCTGCTATTTTTATCAAGAAAGAAAAACTAAAACCACATGGGCCCCTGGGCTGACCCTTCAGCCCTCGCTGTGGAGGAGCCGGCAAGGGGCTCCCTTCTGGGGGGCTGTGGAAGAGGGGACCCCAACAGCAGGGCGTGGGTGCAGCATTGGGGAGCTGAGGGATGAAGCCAGACAGGTGGACCAGGATAGTGGTGTTGCCGAGGGTGAGGCCAAGACCACATGGCATTTTCAGATGATTGTTTTGTCTTTCTCTGTGAGAGGCATGGGTTGGAGGTAAAGAGACTGATTGGGAGGTGAAGGCAGCTATGCAGGGAGAAGGGACGCCGCGGTCTCAGGGCAGGCGGGGCCTGTGGGGATGACTGAGCAACAATTCTAGTAGCAGCAGCAGCGGACGGACCCACCACTCTGGGTGCTTCACCATGCACCCCGTCCACCCTCACAAGGGCCCCAGAAGCAGACCTGGCTACTGCCCCCTTTGTAGATGAGAAGGTAGAGTAGGTAAGGGACCAGCCCTGCTGGGCACCAGGCACAGACAACCGCAGCAGAAGCGGGACCACGATGCCCCAGCAATGTCTCCACCTGGTTGTGCATTTTTGTAAACTTTGCAACAGTGGGACACTTTTGACTCTGCTTCTTAGAGGATCCTCCAGGCCCATCCTCCCTGGCTCCCCACCCCCTGGGGTCACACAGAGGACCGGCCCCCCACATCTCACACTAGCTCCCCAACTCTGCAGTGCAGCCCCTGAGCCCTCCCAGGCTGTTCCCTTGGCTCAGAGCACCCTTCCCTCCCGTGTTGTCAGGCACACCAACATTGTACTCACAGTAGGGCCTGAGAGTACCTCCCGCAGAGACTCATGGTCCCCGTATCCATGTGTTCGTCTGCACCTCAGCCTGTGGCGATTGTAGCTGTCACTCTTTGACAGGGAGAACTGGCTGATACCCTTGCCTGGCACCAGAGCAGCCCCTGAACCTCTGAGAACAGGACTGAACCCTCCCCCCTTACCTTTGTAGCAATAGCACCAACCACTCAGAGGCTAGGATGCCTGTGATAAGAACTAGCCCTTAGGATGCAGGTGCTGGGATGTATGTGGTAGGTGCAGGTGTGGCTGTAGGTGGTGGGTGCAGGTGTGGCTGTAGGTGGTGGGTGCAGGTGTGGCTGTAGGTGGTGGGTGCAGGTGTGGCTGTAGGTGGTGGGTGCAGGTGTGGCTGTAGGTGGTGGGTGCAGGTGTGGCTGTAGGTGGTGGGTGCAGGTGTGGCTGTAGGTGGTGGGTGCAGGTGTGGCTGTAGGTGGTGGGTGCAGGTGTGGCTGTAGGTGGTGGGTGCAGGTGTGGCTGTAGGTGGTGGGTGCAGGTGTGGCTGTAGGTGGTGGGTGCAGGTGTGGCTGTAGGTGGTGGGTGCAGGTGTGGCTGTAGGTGGTGGGTGCAGGTGTGGCTGTAGGTGGTGGGTGCAGGTGTGGCTGTAGGTGGTGGGTGCAGGTGTGGCTGTAGGTGGTGGGTGCAGGTGTGGCTGTAGGTGGTGGGTGCAGGTGTGGCTGTAGGTGGTGGGTGCAGGTGTGGCTGTAGGTGGTGGGTGCAGGTGTGGCTGTAGGTGGTGGGTGCAGGTGTGGCTGTAGGTGGTGGGTGCAGGTGTGGCTGTAGGTGGTGGGTGCAGGTGTGGCTGTAGGTGGTGGGTGCAGGTGTGGCTGTAGGTGGTGGGTGCAGGTGTGGCTGTAGGTGGTGGGTGCAGGTGTGGCTGTAGGTGGTGGGTGCAGGTGTGGCTGTAGGTGGTGGGTGCAGGTGTGGCTGTAGGTGGTGGGTGCAGGTGTGGCTGTAGGTGGTGGGTGCAGGTGTGGCTGTAGGTGGTGGGTGCAGGTGTGGCTGTAGGTGGTGGGTGCAGGTGTGGCTGTAGGTGGTGGGTGCAGGTGTGGCTGTAGGTGGTGGGTGCAGGTGTGGCTGTAGGTGGTGGGTGCAGGTGTGGCTGTAGGTGGTGGGTGCAGGTGTGGCTGTTGGTGGTGGGTGCAGGTGTGGCTGTTGGTGGTGGGTGCAGGTGTGGTTGTAGGTGGTAGGTGTGGCTGTAGGTGGTGGGTGCAGGTGGTCCAGCACAGGAGATATACATCTGTCCCCACCACTGTGAGAATGGCTGATAGGATGGTGGGTGTGGGAGGCCCCAAGGAGGGCAGGGCTCCCTGCAGGGAGGAGCAGCACACAAATCCGGAGGGTTCTAGAGCCCATGAGAACTTGAAGGGAGAGAGGATCCCTGGAGAAAGGCAGAGAGAGCCTCTGAGGGGCTTTGGGGCCTTCAAAGGTCACTGCAGCCACAGGGAGGAGAGGGAGATAGACTCCCAGAGACACGTAGGAGCAAAACCGCTGCTGCTGACTAGGCAAGGAGGAGGGAAAAGGAGCGAGGACATGCCGGGCATCCTGGCAACACGACGGGCTGCCCCAGGGGCCTGGACATTATAGGAGCTTGTAGTTGTTTCCTAAGGCTGCCATAACAAAGTACCACAAACTGCGTGGCTTAAGACAGCAAACATCATACCCTTGCAGTTCTGGAGGCCAGAAGTCTGAGACCAGGGTGTCGGCAGGGCTGGCTCCTCTGGGGCCCTGAGGAGGGACCGGTCCCAGGCCTCTGTCCCGCCCTGGGGGGCTTCGGACAGGCTCCGCATTCCGTGGCTTGTAGACTCACCACTCCAGCATCTGCCCACCTGTGTCTCCTGCGTCCTTTGATGCTTCTTATAAGGAGACTCTTGTTGGGTTTAGGTCCCATCCTAGTCCAGCATGATCTGCAAAGACCCTGTTTCCAAACAAGACCCCATCCTGAGGTTCTGGGAGACAAAACTTCTGGGGGACAACACTGAATGCAGCTCAGAGCTCAGCCGTGGCTCTGGTTTGGCTGGTCCTTTCTCTGGGACGAACTCCCTCCTTTCTGTGGTGTGTGCACCGAGGCCATTGGGTAACAGGTGAGAGGCAGCCATCCCTGATGGTGACAAGGCCAGTTGCACAGGAGTCCATGGACCTGAATAGATCTGTCAGATGAATATTCTCTAAAAAAGCTGAAACTTTAAACTTAATTGCCCAAGGGAAAAACTTTTTGAAAATAAAGTACATTTGACTTATTTGCAAATATTTTCAGATAACTGAGTTGTTTTGCAAATCCCGACTGGGGCATGTCACTCTCCCCTGTGTGGCTGCCCCGTGCAGCTGGGCAGAAGGCCTCAGGGTGCCGAGCTCCTCCAAGGGACTGTCTCCCTCTGGCGGCCGAGCCTGCTCATTTTGGGAGCTTTTCTCTCCTGCTCTCTCCCCCCAGCCTCCCAGCCTTGGTCCGGCTGCTTCTTCCTTCCTGGCCCAGCCGGAGGTCCCCTCTGCCAGAGCCTCCCTGGAACTCCCCCAGGACAGGTCTGTTCTGCGCGGTGCTTCCCACACCTTCCCGGGCCCTCCTGGCCCCCGTATCACCCCCAGGCCCCTTTTGGGACAGAAATGACCCCTGGAGGAGGGTCTGTGGGGGCCAGCCTGCGACAGCCCCTCCTGCCTTTTTTTTTTTTTCCTTTTTGTCTTTTTTACTGACCGGTAACGGGATCGCAACCCTCGGTGTTGTGCCCGTACTGCAGACTGGCAACGGGATCGCAACCCTCGGTGTTGTGCCCCACTGCGCTCAGCCAGTGAGCGGGAACCGGTCTCCACATGGGATCTGAACCCTCAGCGGGAGCGCCGCCGCGCTCCCAAGTGGCGCACTCTCCAGTGCGCCACCGGGCCGGCCCCCTCCTGCCTTTTTAAGCGTAACTCAGATTATTTTTTCCCTTAAATGAGTGATGTGGCGCCATAGGGCAGCCACTGCGTGCCCACTGTGGGGAGGGCGGGAGCCTCGTGCCCCCCAGCCCGCTGCTCCCCCTCTTCAAGGCTCAGCTAGGAAAAGGCTCTGAGGCCTTGACAGGCTGCAGGTGGCCACACCCTTTGGTGCTTGTCACCTGGTAAAGGTGACGAGAGCGCATTCAACAAGGATCTATGGAGGTCGCTGCCTGAGCCCCTGGGATTCTGAGCTGGACAGTGCTGCCCCCACCCCCCCCAATCTTTACTGGCATCAGCACCACCTCACCAAGGCTAATTTGTCTTGAGGGTGTGTCATGTGCCAGGCCCTGTATGCCAAGTGCTTTAGGTTCTCTACCTTGCTTATCCTGAAAACAGTCACAAGTGGGAAGGTGGCTTAGGAAGTTCTGCGTTCAAGGATGGAGCCCGCTCAGCTGCTGGGCTGCAAGTCCGGGGAAGCTCAGTCACTCTCCTGGGGTCTCAGACCCCTGCCATGTTCCAGCCGCAAGGCTGGACCAATATTCTGTTGCTCAGCATCATTTGTGGGAGTTTTATAAGCCCGGGCATCAGGTGGGCAGCGTGACAACCTCAGCCTCCCTCCAGACCTCCGGGCATTGACGTCTGTCTGGCTAGGGCAATTGTCAGAATCCTGCCAACATAGCCAATTGTATTGTCGGGTTAGGGCCCACAGACCCTTCAAACTTGTGGTAGGGACTAGGTCACGGTCCCCTCACATGCCAGGCTGGGTCGCCAGACCCCTCAGAGGCAGGTCCACGGCTAGGTAATTGGCAAAGATCCTGGGAACC